ATCGGTGGGCCCGCCCCATCCACCGGCCCGCCTCAGCCACAAGGTATCCTTTGCTTAACCATAAAATTTCCAACTTTGGCTCAATAAAGACTCGATTTTTATTTTCTGCAATTAGTTTATTTGTTGGGGGAAACTGAAAATTTCTTCAATTAGAAAGAGGGCTTTGGCCCTTTGTGTATTTTTAGCAAATGAAATTGAAGTAGAATTTTTTTTGTTCAGTATAATTTGAGTAACCACTAACGAGATAAAACCAAACTTTGCTTTCCATTTGTGGACTTTCTGATTTATCCATAGCCACCGAGCGCGAGTGGCGCGAGTACCTTCCGCTGTACAGAGCCACACTCATGGGCGAATGGGACCGGGCCAAACAAATCATTGACCACGCCACCACGGCCCGAATAGCCTTCACCTTGGAGACTTCCCTCCACATAGCCGTGGGCACGGGCAAGGCCCTTCATTTCGTCCAAAACCTGGTCGACATAATGCCGGACGACCTATTAGGAGTGAAGGACGAGCTCGGCTACACGGCCCTCCACGTGGCGTCTCTCACCGGAAATACGGCTGCCGCCAAGATTCTTGTGGGCCGGAGGCCCGATTTGCTGTGTGTGCCCGACAACACAGGTAGCTTCCCAGTCCACCTGGCGGCGCTGTCGGCCCATGGGGAGACCCTTTGGTACTTGATATCCGAGACGAAGGACGACTGCTTCCCGAGCCCGTACCTTGGGGAGACGGGCCTCAAGCTTCTGTGTATTGTGATTGATGCTGATATTTTTGGTGGGTGTGTTTATGCCTTTATGGTTTGGGTACTTTTATAATTGTTGTGAGTTTTTTGAACTTGTGATGGTGACTTGTCTTTGCTCTGTATTATTCAGATGTGGCGTTGTATTTGGCTAAAAAGTATACACATTTGGCTGCTTTGAAACTGAGAGATGGCACGTCGGCTTTGAGCAGGGTAGCGCTTAAGGACTCTGCTTTCTCGAGTGGTGTAAGGCGATTCAACTTCTGGGAACGATTTATTTACTCAGGTTAGTCTCTCGGTTAAACTATGTTGGAAGTTCGTGTTGGATTCATTACGAATTTGCGAAGAATTATTCAATGCTAATTATGTGAGTAATTTTGTGTTTAAGTGTATATATAAGAAATGAAATGATTGTTTTCAAATGATTAGGAAAATGGTTCTCTATGACTTTGCTTTGATTATTTTGTTACAGAAGGATTCAGTTATTCTCATCATGTAATGATAATGCGATAGACTGATCTTTGCATTGTGAAACTTTCTTGACAATGTTTAACCTATTTGTAATTTCTTTGCAAAATAATGTCATATTTCAAAAGCTGCAAGATATTTTGTTTGATTCTTTTGCTTTATTCCTATGTAATAGCTACACCAAAAGTATCGATCATTCTTGTCTTTTTCTTAATGAATCCCTCAATTGACATGGATTTACAAGACTTACTGGATTTTCCCAATAGTTTCATGTTTAAAACTCTGTCATATATACTTTTAGTTCCATTACATTGACTGTATTGTTCGACATATCACCAGTTCCTCGTGCGAAGGCCAATCGTCAAAGAAAACGCACTCATGAGCTGGCGTTTGAGCTTGTTCGATGCCTGTGCAAGAATATGGAGTCCTTAGATTACAAGCAGGCCTCCGGAATCTACGTGGACGTCATGCTTACGGCTGCACGCTTAGGTGTTCATGAGGTTATCGAGGAACTTGTGGCCACATTCCCGGCTGCCATATACTCTCGTAATTTCCACTCAAAACAGTATATATTCCACGTGGCGGTCGAAAACCGTAGTGAAAAGGTGTTCAACCTGATTTACCAGACGAGCTCTCTTAGGCATCAGTACTCGGATTTGGTGGATGCTAACGGAAACACGCTCCTTCACCTGGCTGCGCGGTTGGCCCCACCGCACAAACTCAATCTCGTCAGTGGTGCAGCTCTTCAGATGCAGCGCGAGTTGCAGTGGTTTGAGGTACGTGACTCACGTGATTTCTTGTTTTTGTACGTGTATTCGAAAGTTGTTAGCTAGTGTTGTAATCGAAATGAACGAGCCGAGTTTGGGCGTTTTGAGCTCGTGTTCGTTTACGTTCGAAATGTTCGTTCGTTTTTTTTTTAAACAAAAAAAATAGTGTTCGAGCTCGTTCATTTAATTGTTCATCAAAGTTCGAGTTTGCATAATTTAGGACATAAACTTTTTAATTATGTTTAATTAAATCGAAATTTGTTTGTTCGAACACGAAAATAAAAAAAAATAAAAAAAAATATTTTTATAATTTATTAAAAATATTATGTTAATATATAATAAAGTAAAATAATATTACTCGCAAACATTATTGAACGTTCGCGAACGAGTTCATGTTGGTTCGATTATTAAACGAGCCTAATTTTCTGTTTGAATTCAGAGTTCGAACGAGTTTCTGTTCGCGAACGTTCAGTTCATTAACAGCCCTATTGTTAGCCATTGGTCATGAATTTACTTTGTGTGCTATTAAATCATTATGCACCTTTGCGTTCGATTGTTGTTAACAGGAAGTGAAGAAATTTCTCCACCCGTATTCCCGAGAACGAATGAACAATTCCAGAAAAACGCCAAAGATGGTATTCACAGACGAGCACAAGGAACTAAAAGCCGAAGGCGAGAAGTGGATGAAGGACACAGCAAATTCGTGCACAATTGCCGCAGCATTGATTGCCACAGTCGTGTTCGCCGCCGCTATCACGGTCCCGGGTGGAAATGCGTCCAATGGCTTTCCTTTCTTCTCCACAAAGGCTGCCTTCATAATCTTCGCGGTCTCGGATGCTATTTCTCTCTTCACGTCCACAACTTCTCTCTTGATGTTCTTATCTATTCTGACCTCACGCTATGCGGAGGAAGATTTCTTGTACGCGTTGCCCAAGAGGTTGTGTATTGGGCTCGTTACACTTTTCATGTCCATCTCGTTTATGATGGTGGCCTTTAGCGCGACGCTTTATATAGTTTTCGGCCGGGAAAAGGCTTGGATACTCATACCGGTGGCTGCCCTTGCTTGTTTGCCCGTAACTTCGTTCGTGCTGCTGCAGTTCCCGTTGCTCGTGGATGTTATTTCTAATACGTACGGTCGTGGCATTTTCGGCAAGCAGAGCAACCGCCCCTTCTACTGATTGATTAAAAATACAGAGTTACAACTGAATTGTTGTTTTTTTTTTCTTCTTTTGTTTGGCTGTCACTTGACAGTTTCGATGTAGTATGGCTAAGCATATTTTGTCTTCAGTCACTTTGCACTTTTTGTAGAGTTGTTTCAATTTTGTGGTGATTTGTTTAAGTGTATTTATACTCTATAAATATGATGTCTTAAGAAGAGGAAAATGAATAACGTACATAATTAAAAATCTCATGGCCTTTAAACTTAAAGATGATGTATTAACAAGAGACCATACATACATGCAAATTATAGAAGCGTACATCTAACGTAGTTATATTCTTACACTAATGCCAACATGCATACTCACCGAATAGTTTTACCTTTATGTTAGAATGTTTAATATTCATCAGCTCACATCTTAAACATTAGAGAACTCAACTCGATTATCGTGCGTACCTTAAACCACTGTATCTTACACTGCATCTGTAGGGCCACACCAAAAATGAGATTGAGCTTGTGTGGTGGGGATAACCTTGCAACCAAGTGTAATGGCGTGTTTCCATAACCATCCTCCAACTTACGAAACTCAAATTAATTATCGTTCATGATCCGGTAAATCTCTTTGAAAATCATTTCATTATATGGTTCTCGACTGCTGTGAGCATGGCATCCTTGTAGATTTCGACTGTCTTGCCGAAACCTAAGGTCTTCAGGTGTTGGAAGAGGGACTCAACGAGAGGCACATAATACATTTATTCGGAATTAACTGAGCCAATCTTGTCTTCAGCTGCTACAACATTGATTAGAGTATTTCATGAAATGTAAGAAAATTTACCCAAGTTTCCCTATTAATTGATCTGTAATGAAATTTAAAAATACAAGGAAAAAAAGAAATGATATGTTAAATTACCTACAAATTATGATTTTCTTCTAATATATGAAAGAAGAGAATAAAGTGCATTTGTAAACGAATGGATCTATTTATAATAATAATAATAATTAATTAAAAAAAAGTCCTAGTACGCATCTTTATACATGGATGCGGAACAAATATAAATCAAAATTTAACAGCCCTCATCATTTTCCAGTCTAACTAACTTTGAGCTGCAAGTCAATGTTATTTATATTTCAGCTCGAACATGTTTTTTAGAATTTTCTTAGTCAAGACATGGACTGTAAAAATGGTAAAACTCGAATTTTACTTGCACCTAAATATCACATATGAAGTTACGCGTGTTTTGTTTGATTATTATAACTTATGTGTGTTTTTAGATATAATGATCCTAATATTCAAGCCTGCAGCTGGCTAATCCATGCCATATAATAGTAGAAAATCTATATACCAATAAATTTAAAAAGTTTTATTTAGTAGAAAATTTTAATATTCATGCCTGCAACGGCGTTTCTCCCTGGTTTGGTGGTTTCGGGTACTATGTAACCTGGACAGGTTCTTGCTCCAGGACATTTGTTGGGCCGGTCCGAGTTGAAAAACTCTGGTAGAATGTCCTAAGGTAATATGTTTATGTATACATTCATTGCCCCCTAAAATATTTAATTAATTACCCAGCTAATTAAATATTTATAAATATTGCTTTATAATTTTTGCGTTAGCAATTTTCTTCAGTTGGAAATTTGAAGGAACTAAAATCGTTTCCTATCTTTGCTATTTCCTCCATAATTTAAATATCTAAGTATGGTTCCAGTATATTAAATAGATATAGAGGAAAAGTAAAGTAGCGTACATAATTAAAAATGTCATGGGCTTAAAGATGTCTTAATAAGAAATGACCGTACATGCAAATTATAGGAACGTACATAACCATACTTGTGAACAGAAATACCTCACACTAGTAATTATATATGAGTTTCATTCCTCATGGAAGATCGCGCAAGAAATTCTTTCCATATACCGTCTGAAGATACCAAGAAAGTAGGTATTAGAAATCACATCAATTAGAAGCGGGAGCTGCAACAGATTCCTCATCGACAATCCCATCAAATTCTTCACGGGAAACTGCACCAGATTCCTCATCGACAGGTTCAGCGGGAACTGCATCATCACGAATGAGGTTACCGGCATACAAGCAAGAGCACCCACTGGTATCAGTATCCAACCCTTTTCCCGACCGAAAACCAGATAAAGCGTCGCGCTAAAGGTCACCATCATGAACAATATGAACATGAAGAGGGCAAAGAGCCCGATGAACAATATGGACGCGTCCTCATCGGGGGGATTAGCAGATGAAATCGGAGAGAAGCTGCAACGAATTGAATTGGCAGGCTCTGAAAATGGGTTAATTGAAATAGAAGACGAGGATATTCGTACCAGCGCAGAAGAATGTGAGAAAAGTCTTTTTGGGAAAATGGTTGGAGATCGTCGCGCCAGCCGGCTTGGTATTCGTAGAACCATGTCTTCAATTTTGGCAGATCAAACAAACTGTCGAGGTCAGGGAATTGAATCACAATTTCTTCCAATTTATTTTTGGGAACCTTAGAGGATAAAAGGAAGGTTGCATCAGGGAATTGAATCAGAATCTGTGATTGATGAGGTGGTGGTAGCCAGCCTAGATTGGCCCCAACCCCATAAATGAATCATGGGCAGATCTATTTTTTTTAATACGGTCGACACATGGTTGTTCATGTGTGATTTTACACCATATTTATTGAGTATCTAGAGCTTAGTCATTGCATTATTAGTGTATAAATTGCATATTTGTGCTTTAATTCTCTATTTGTTGGAAAGGTATTACACGTGCTTGTTTTGTAGATATTTTCACATATTTGTAGAGCTTGTGGCTATTGGAGGCGCATGGTGAGTACCTAGGACCCCCGAGATGATGATGGATTGATGCACGGATGAGAAAAATGGAAGAAACGAGTGAAACGGACAAAAACGAGTGTGCTGGGATGTGACACGGACGGTGACACGGGCATCATGCCCGTGTCAGAGGTCGTGTCACGATAACAGGGGCATTCCGAGGCAATACACGTGACACGGGCTGCGACACGGACGGTGACACGGGCAGAATGGCCGTGTCACGCGCGCAGACTGCGTTTTTTTCTTGTCTATTTTGAATAGGAGAAGGGTTTTGGACATTATAAAAGGCACATTTACCCTATTTTGAGGGAGGAACGTGATTACACCATAGGGAAGCCCTAGAACACACAAGAGAAGCAATTGGGAAGCAAAAGAAGATCAACCACAAAGGGATCAAGAAGATTGAAAGATCGACGGGATTCCTAGTTTTTATTTCTTCTTTCCTTTTGAACTTTTATTGATCATGTCGATTTCTAATATGTCTATGTATTTGAATTCGAACATGAGTAGCTAGATTATTTGATTCTAAGACTTGGTAGTAGATTAATATGTTGGGATTTTGGATGATTTATTATAATTGATTGTTTCTTTTGAACCCTATTCAAATATTTTGTTCTTATTTCATGTTTAGCACTTGATCAATGCTTTTACATGTTTGACAATATTGTTCATAATTCGAGAGATGAGTTCAATATTAGGTCTTTAATATTTGACACAATTTACTTGCTTGAATCGAGAGATTAGTAGGTTGTTGTGAGGATATTAGATCTTTTAATCTATTTGGAGTTGAATTGCATGTGTTGAGTGGAGACGCTAATATATGTGATTTAATCTACGGTTTTATCGATCTCGAGAGGGACGATAAGCTAAATTTGTGATCATCTTATAGGGTAGATAAAGAAAACATTGGTTGTGATATTTCTGAAGGAACCCAACTATTAATTGAAACCAAAGTCTTAGAATCTATCATTCTCATATATTTTCTTACGTGTTTTTTCTAGCTAGTTTCTCATTGTTGCTTTATTTTCCTTTGATTATATTTTCTTAGTTTAGTTAATCCATCTCATATTCGGTCGTCTAAATAAAGTTGACACTATCATAATCTTGTACTTGATATATTAATTATTTGGTCTCTTGGGATACGACCTTGCTTGCCACATACTACGAGCGAAGCCGTACACTTGCGGTCGAGCTTTAAAAATATAGGCGAACAATGGTCACTTCCGAAAACATATAGCATAATGTATCTAACAAAAATTGAGGGAATATTTTTCATAATTTTACTCATACCCCTATTCTGAAAATAAAATTAAAAGAAAGAAAGATAAATTATAACACTTTTAATATTATTTATGGCATTTAATATTTTTTACTTTATGTTGTTCTTTCATATGTTTATATATGTAACATTTATATTTGAAAAAATTCATAAAATAAATTATAAAATTTTTTGGGTCATATGTGTTCTATTAACTAAATAGTGTCCCCCAATATGAAATATTTTGTATCCTCTACTGTAATTAACTTTCCCTAAACTTATATTAAATTTTTTAAAATTCCATAGACAATTTTTCCAACAGTTGAAATATGGTCCGAAAACAAATTCTAACTGAAATTCACACAATAATAAATAATGGTAATTATAATCACTAAATCAACAAAAATTTCAATGTAATTTATTTTGATCTCTATTGAAATACACAATGAAATTTTCCAATGAACACTACACCAAGGAAATATTCATTGCAATTTTTAGTAGAATACCTACAATTTCTCTATTAAAAATATATTTAACACATGAACGTTTTAGTCCATATATTTTTTTAAAATCACTCATTATTTTATCTCAAGATTACCTATTAATTTCTCAATTGAGATAAATTTCTTACCTTTTAATATTAAATAATAAAAATAATTATTATTTTATATATGTAATATGATATTTACATATTATATTAAAAAAAATAATAAGAAAATAAAAGTTTATTTAAAATTAAAATAATCATTTTTTTTTCTAAAAAATAAAAGTCCTAACCTACATGGATAAAAGTACAAATAACTATTGTCTATCACCTAAACTTATACATAGAACTAAAGCACAAAATTTAACAAGCATTGAATAAATATGTGACTACTTGAAGGCAACCACCACTTGTTCGCGGTAGTTCTGCAGGAAGCGTTGACCAGCGGTCGTGTGGAAGACCACTCTCCGCGCCCGAAGGGCAGCCTCGTCAATCAAGGGCTTAGCCCTCTGCTCGAAAGCAACGTTTTCATGCGCTCGAGCTGACTTCTCCTCCTCGAGGGCAACCTCGAGAGCTTTTTGGGAAGCCAGGAGGGCCTCTTTCTCTGCTCGCTCGGCTGCGAGGGCCTCCTCGAAGGATTTTAGGACCCCCTCGAGCGTTTCCTTCTCAGCGGAGAGGACCTTATTCCGGGCGGCCGACTCCTTCAGCCTTTCATGAAGAGCATTACTCTTAACAACCATCTCATCCAACCGATTGCCGAGCTGAAGATTGCCTTACTCGATCGTTGGGATGGAACGACTCGGGCTAGCTAACGTATGCTCGATCAGCGGCGCAAGCTCGACCATTCCCTACAAGAGCACATAAAAGAAAGTGTTAGGGCACTAACAAGGGGATGAAGTGGAGTAAAACAGATAAACATTAAACTATAGTAGGTTACCTGAGCCAACCAGCGGGCAATCCGATTGCCCCGGTCTCGAAGGGTATGACCGTCATTATACTGGTCGGTAGGACGGTCGACGGGAGGAAGGACATCTCTGAGGAAATGCGAGAACCCCGTGCCGTCAAGAGTTGTGATCGAGAGTGCGGTCTCCTCGAGATGACGGCGCTTGCCAGCATTTTCATCCCCCTCAACAGAGGGACGCTTAAGCCGATTCTCCTCGAGTAGAGTCTTCTCGGGAGAAGCGGGAATGTGAACAATCGGAATGGTCTGGTCACGCGGAGGAGAGTGAGGTCGAGGAGATGTCGGTTTCTCGAGCTGTTCGGGTTGCTCGGGTTGCTGGTCGGCTTGAAGGTTGGTCGAAGAGGGTTGTTCGACGATCAATTCTGGAGGCGGTGAAGTCGAACGGGCGGATTGGGAGGTGGTCGAGTCAGCAGGCTTCGAGCTCGACCCCTCAACGGCTTGCTTCCTTTTCAAAGGAGCTTTCCGCCTAGGCACGGAGATAGCAGGCATCTCTGCAAGGGATCATGAATAAATTAGAACCATAATAAATAAACAACAGAAGAGACAAACATGTTATCCGTTGGTCGAAAAGCTCACTCAGTAGCAAGTACATGGGTCATCTTTGATTTGGATAAGGTCGAGAGTTTTTTGGGAAGGGCGAGAGCAAGATTTGTGGGTGAGCAGACCACAGAAATGTAGAAGGTCGTCATCTTCGAGCAGAAGTTTCGACGCAACGGGCTTGGTGTTCCACACGGCTATCCGTTGGTCGAAAAGCTCACTTTGAGGAGGAGAGGCCTGCTCGCGCGGGAGATCCGTGAGCCAAGGAGTTGGTGCCCACGGAAAAGGAGGAGTGGGCTCGACAAAAACAAATTTGTCTTTCCATCTCGGGACATTAGAAGGGGTGTCGGAGATGAAGTGGACATCATTGCGGCTCTTGAGGTAAAGGCCATGAGAGTGTTTGGATGGCGTATAGCAGTAATGGAAAAAGGCTAGGTCGAGTCGACCCAAGCGGATGTGGCAGAGGATAATGAAGATGGTGATGAATCGAATAGCATTGGGAGGAAGCTGGTTCAACGGGAGGTCGAACCAGTCGCATATATCGAGCAAATCCTGGCATAGGGGAAAGCGGACCCCGAGTTTGAATTAAATCTCGAAGAAAGTGTAGTTATTTTCGGGCGGATGGTCATAAGTATCCTCAGAGCGGGGAGATCTAAAAGCCCAACCAACGAGATGACCAACATCATTAGTGTTTAACCATCCTGCAACGAGCGAAGGAGAAGAGGTGTGCCGGGGAGAAGAGGCTTTAGCCAACTTTTTCTTATGGGCAGGCTTAGGAGGAAGGACGGTGGTAGAGCCAGATTTAGCTTTTGAAGCGAGGGTAGTCGAGGACTTGATTTGGGACTGCGAAGGATTGATTTTCTTGAGATTGCGCGAAGAAGTGGCTTTGGAGAAGACAAAGCGGCAAGAAAGGGGGACATGATCCTCATCTTGTTCGAGTGCGACCTCAGCAGCATCGAGGGCCTCTTCAATCGCATCAGACGCCTCGAAGGCCAGTCGATGGCGACGAGGGAGAGGAATGGGGTCAGCAATACTATCGTCTGACTCATCGATCAGACGACGAGTGGGAGGCGGAGGAGAAGAGGTGGCACAGTCGGAAGGGCGTAAAAAAACTGATAGGAGTG